GACCTGTTACACAACAGGCTTCACTAGCCCCCAACAAGCTCATCAGCCATCCAGCCTTCACCTGGGGAGCCCAGGGCACTCTCACCATATCAAAACCACCAACAAAACCTTGGGCTTGTCCTTTCAAATCTAGTCAGTATCTACTCTCTTTTTTTAGGCCCTCCATGTCACCGTGCCTCAGCCATCTCTCACAGCTCTAGCTCCTTCCTTCCTCCTCGTCCTTGACCTCCTCGTCTGTCTACCTTAAGCCAGTAACCACAGGAACGCTGTTAGGCCAGACAACATCTCTCCCGTCTTCTAGTGGCTTGCAGTGCAAACAGAGTAAAGGCCAAAGTCCCCACTATGCCCACGGCACCCCCACCTTACCCCCCCAACTCTCCACTTCGGCCACATTGGTCCCTCCCTGACACTGGAGACACCAACTCTGTTCCAACCCCAGGCATCTTTCACAGCTGCCCCCCTGCTCCACCGTGGTTTCTAGGGAAGCAGCTCCACAGAGAGCACTTTCCTAAGCCCGTATTTAAGCTCCATCCTCTTTGCTTTCTTTCTTCTTGGTCACAGCACTTGTTACTTGTGCTTCCCGCCATCTTCTCACACTGGGAGCTACACTCCACGAGGAAAGCGGGAAGTCCCTCACCTTGCCCACTGCGCCCGGAGGAGCACATCGTGAAATGTGTGGAGGGTGATACACAGACCTCTCTCCCCGGAGTGCTCTGGGCTGCACACGGTCACTCGTGCCCAGCCCTCAAAGTAACCTTCCCGAAACTGGATCTTACCCATCCCGCATCCTGCCCTGCTCAGGGCCCAGGCAGCTCCTCCACAACCAATGGAGGAACTGATTTCCCAAGCACTTGTGGGCGGGGTGGGGGGGTGCTCTATGAAAATGCAAGGAAAAGACCCCAGGTGAGTTAAATCCCCCAGAGGAACAGTAAGAAGGAAGAAAGGACCTGGCACTCTTCTCTAGACATGGGGTCTAGTACCTGACCCCCACAAGCCCCAAACCCCATGACCGAGGGCTGCTCCCGAGCACGGTAGAGCAGGCTCCCCACTTCCTCATTCCAGAACCACCTCCTCTACTGCCAGAGAACTCCTGTAACTCTCAGCCAAAGTTCTCCTCTACCGTCTGGGTTCTTCTGACCTCACGACTCCAGGTCAGTGCCACCCTTACCCCATGGCTAGACCTGAGCCTTGGCTGTCCAGGCCACAGTGACAAGCCACAGGCTATGTACTAAGTAAGCTGTTCTACAGATGTGTGCAGTCTGCTGGGAACTGGAGAGGGGGAGCAGGTCTGGGGTCAGCACTGAAGCTGACCCTCCTTGCCCAAGTGACGATCAGAGAGTAGCTACCTAATGGAGTTTGAATAAATGAATAAATTCCCCCTGCGTGGTACCTGTACTTAATGAATGACAGCTCCCCCTACTCATTCCTTACCACGGGGTGCAGGGCTGGGGCCAGGCACACACAGTAGGCCACTGTGCCCACACCAAAGGTCCACCTGGCCTGCTGGCTGGACAGGACTCTGCTTCGGGAAGCTTAGCAGGGATGGCTTTCCTGTTCAGTGCCTCCTACCCTCAGCCCAGACACAACTGACCTAGAGTTCCCTAATCAGACACCCACAGAGGGCATGGAGAGGCCCATGGCCACGAGGAAACGGAAGCTTGAGGGGAGCAGGACATACATGATTGCAAACCCAAAGTAGCTTCCATTTCCCCTTTCCTTCAGGGCAAGCAGAAAGAGGAGAGTTTCGCCAGCACAGGAACTAGCCACTCCTTTCTAGACAAGGTTTCTGCCCACACAGTAACTGGAAAGCCCAACCTCAAGTGTCAGATCTGCTCGGCCACCCCCGTCCCCCTATCCCGCCCTGCCAGCATGCCCCTAGCTCAGAGACTCCATGATCTCTAGCTGGCTCAGGGACTGGTGAGTCAGACTCCACTCCATTCTTGAAAGATGCTGGGTGAAAACTGAGGCTGAGGAAGTCAAGTTCCCAAAGTCAAATTTGAAAGGGCCAGTGTCTTAGAGAGCTGTCAGCTTTCTCAAAATAAGGGCCTGACCACAGAGGCTCCTCCCAGGCCCAACTCTCACCAGACAAAAGCCTACATTTGCCTCACTGCAGCTAGAAAACATCAGAGGGACACACAACTGGCAAAATGGCATACGCACATGTACAGAGATACATACAAACAAAACACTCATGCACATAAAATAAAGAAATTAAAAATGTTTTTTAAAAAAAGTGCCCGGCAGTGGTGGCAAACACCTTTGATCCCAGCACTGGAGAAGCAGAGGCAGGTGGATCTCTACGGGAGCAAAGGTCAGCCTGGTCTACAGTAGAGCAAGTTCTAGAACAGCCAGGACTATACAGAGAAACCCTATCTTAGAAAACAAAAAAAAAAAAAAAAAAAAAAACCAAAAAAAAAACAAAAAAACAAAAGTTGGGTGTGGTTGCACACAGGCTTTTAATCCCAGCACTCTGGGAGGCAGAGGCATGAGGATCTCTGAGTTCAAGACCAGCCTGGTCTACAGAGCATCTACAGAACATCTGTGGACTAGGACAGACAGGGGCTACACAGATAAACTTATTTCAAAAAACAAAACAATTTTTTTCTTATAAAAAAAAAAAAAGCAGTAACAAAGGTCCAGATATTGGTCTAAGGCAGAGCCTGGCCCAAAAGTATCCAAAATGACCACAAACACCAATATTCTAGACACCCCCACGGTCTCCTAAGGAGATACTTTGTCACAGCCAATCATGGGAAAGAACCACTCCTTTCTCTTTCACTATGGTCTCTACACCCCTAGTAAACTCACCCTTCATTCTCAGCATATTTGAAAAGCAGCCTCTGGGCTTTCTCGCCCTCGGGTTTTCAGAAGTCTTTGTATAGTCCTCTGGATAGAGAGGAATGCTTACCATGTCTATTCACCCACTGTTTTCCAGAACAGACTGACTCAGGACTGGTCTGGGTCTTTTCTGTTTGTTTTCTTCAGTGCTAAAACTGGAGCCCAGGGTATCATGAAGGCTTGGGAAATGTTCTACTACTGAACTACCTCTCCAGATAACTGTTTCTGTTTTTTTCAAGATAGGGTTTCTCTGTGTAGCCCTGGCTGTCCTGAAACTCACTGTGTAGATCAGGCTAGCCTCAAACTCAAGAGATCTTCCTGCCTCTGCCTCCCAAGTGCTGGGATTAAAGACATGCGCCGCCACCAACACCTGTTGCCCAGCTTTTTTTATTTTCCCCTTTAGCAGTGCTAGAAATGAAACCCAAAAGCCTGGATCTTCTTCACCCCTGAATCTTTACTCAATAAATTCAAATCCTGTTCCCAGTGAGTCTACAGTTTCATTTAGGACCCAAGGACACAATGAGAGGCAAGCCATACCAATCACCCTCAAGCAGCTTATGAAATGAAAAGGCATAGCCAGTGAGCTAGAGTGTTCTTATAGAAGTCATGTTAACTAATGTGTGTTTATTAGGCACTCATAGGCCTGGTAGTTTTATGCGTACGCTACTTCATTTATTCTCACAATTCTACAAGTTAGACACATCACTATCTCCATTTTCCAAATGAGGACAGGGAGGTACTGACTTCATCAAGGTCTCAAAACAAGATCAGAACCCAAGGAGGCTGGTGCACAGGTCTATATCCTCAGCCACGGTGTTCAGAGGTGTTCAGAGGACACAGAGAGACATCCAGCCTTTGGGGTGGAGGTGGGTATTGTAGAGATGGTGCTGTCTGAGCAGGGCGCTGAAGGACAAGTTAGAAAGAGGCCCAGCAGATCGGAGAGGAAAAGAGGCACTGATGCATGCAAAGGCATGGAGACATGAAAGACCCTTTGTGAGCGAGCCACACCCTACAGAACCTCATGGTTGAAAGTCACACAGAACAATATGATCATCCAGCACTCCTCCAAATCGTTCTGGGGATTCAGCCTTTCCCCACAGGCAACGGAAAGCAAGCAAAGGGGCCAACTTCAAGCAAGCAACACAATCAAACTCGTGATCTAAAAGTTTGCCAAGAGCTAGAGTTTGGAGACTGGGCTGCGAGCAGTTAGGGCTGCGAGCAGTTAGGACTGTGATCAGTTAGGACTGCAAGCTGCCAGGAATGGTGAGAACCCAGAAACCTGTCGGCAAGGGTGGTGACACAGAAGGTTCACGGAGTTAGCTATTCCCTCTGAGCAAACTGAGGGTAAAGGACGTAAGGCAATTCAGGAGTTTTTCTCTGGGATACAAGAGCGGAAAAATGAATGGACAGCTCAGGTTTGAAACAGGGGAACTCCTTCTGAAGTGCAGCTGTCCCACAGGCAGCTTGACAGCCAGCTAATTTGGAGCGCCAGGAAAGGGATGTGCTGGCAGCGTCGATCTGGATGGTCAGTGGACGTGGACCTGAAGCTACAACAGTGGATGAGACCATCCAAGATCACCGCACAGAGAAGCAGGTTGGGCCAGAGAGAATGAAAAGCGGTTCACGAGGAAAAATCAGGAAATACAGGGGAGTCAAAGGGTGAGAGCATGACAGGAATGCGAGCCAACGGTAAGAGGCACTTCTGAGAAATCAAAACTTTGAAGGGCCTTTCTAAAATCATTAGGAAGCTATGCGTGGATGTTTCCAACGGAAGTTGGAGGAAACAGCGAGCAGCAGAGATGCAGACTATTGGAAAGTATGTTTTCCTCCTCGTGATTCTGACCCTTTCCCACACTCAACCACTGCCCCATGATGCTCAGATACCGACTCCTCGCCTCTCCTCTTACTATAAAGAGGAAGACTTAGGAAAGGGACCATAGGCGCCCTCCCGGGCCTTCCTGGGTGGGTAAGAACGAAGATACCCACTCCCCAACCGTGCAAGCAGAGCACCAGGGAGAGGAAGGGGGCGGAACCCGGAGCGCGAGGGGCGTGAGAGGGGCCGGACCGAACGAAAGACGGACACCGGGCAGGGAAGCAGGATCCGTCGGCTAGAGACAGCTCTCGTACCACCACCCGGTCCCAGCGACCGCTGCAGGACCCACCTGCTTCATGTCACCACGGGTCCCACTCTTCCTGCCTCAGCCGCAGTCCCGCTCCACGGCCCAGCCAACTCCTCAGAGCGGAAGGAAATCTCCCAGCGGCGCTACTTCCGCCGCTGAGCCCGCCCCCAAAGGCAAACCGGGAATCATGTGGCCCTGAAGCTCCGCCCCAGTCCCCGCCTCTCCTCACCCCGAGCCTCAGAGACAAGAGCCGGAAGGCGAGACTTAGCTAGACTGTTTAAAAGCGGGGAAGAACTCCAGAGTGTCATGGTTATTAGACCATACAGGCCTGTGGAGTAAAAGGGAACTGTATGAAGGGTGATATGTGGGCAAAGATCCCTTGGAGAAGTAATTTTTTTTTATTTTTGAGACAAAGTCTCAGGTTGGCCTTGAACCAGGGATCCTCTTTCTTCAGCCTTCCAAATGCCTAGATTACAGACTTCACCACCACACCCATCACACTTTTAAAGGACTTTTGTTCTCCCTTGGTTTTTAACCACCTCCCTCAGGAGCAAGTATACCTGTCATGTTTAATGTCTAATATTTAATATTCCTGGGAAGGAATGGACATCAGGGTTAAGATCCTGACCCTTAGATAACCACCATTTTCCCTGTCAGGACATGCCATTACTTCCCGGTCTCTCCTCCCTCCCCTGAAAGAAGAGTCTCAGGACAATTATTTACAAAGATTTATTACAGCATGGGAGGGGTTCAGGCCTGGAGTCAGGGAAGTAAGGGGAAGGGAGCCAAGCAGCTGGAGGACAAGGAGAACCAGGCTCCCCACTCTGTGTGGCCCCTCTAAGGACATATACTAAGTGGCATTCCTGGCACCAAAGCACGAACAAAAACGCAACAAGCAGCCTCTGCCAGTCCATCTTGCAGGAAAAGGATGATGGGGAAGACATCCAAAACGTTGAGGCTGTGCGAAAGGATGCCTGAGACCTGGGCCCTGGTAGAAGTCTGGGAGAGGGGTGGAGACTTGAACCCCCTCCCCAAAAAGAAGGGATGGAGATCTCAGGGCACCTGAAGGCTCTCAGTACCTCCTTTCCCCAGATTTTAGGGTCTGCCCTGCGAGTCTCCTGTGCCCAGGGGAGTGGATCTGGAGAGAATTGTGAAGGGTGACTATTTTGTTCCTGGCTCTCCGGGTTTGCCAATGTGGGCCGTCTCACCTCCCCCCCCTCCCACCGGGTAAACAGAAGAACGACTGGCAAGGAGAGGCATCGGGGACTCTGGGCTTCAGCCAAAGCAAACACAGACCAGCCTTAGTCTTCTAAAGTCAGAAGCCGCAGCCCTAGCAGGTGAAAGAAAGGGTACAAAGTAAGGTGGGGATAGAGTGGGTTTCTGAGAAGCACTTCCTCCTGGGAGATGCGGGACTCTGAGCTTATGTGCCCGGCTCAGGGTGGGGTAGGGTGCTGAGGCTCCTCTCCAGGCTCTGAAAGACAAGTAAAGAGGGCTCAAGGCCTGGCTTGGCCCCTGAAGCTTCCACCCACCTCCCCACCCCACACTCACCACTCAGTGCTCACCACACAGTGCTGCTCTGTCTCCCACCTGCTCCTCAGAGTTTCCATCTCTCTGGGGCTCATCCAGAGGAGGTGGGCGCTCCCAGGGCCCCTCCAGACCCTGCCCACAGGTAAGCTTCTGCCCCACTGGAAAAGAAGGCATACAAACATAGGTTGAGCCGCCCTGTGGTGCTGTCTGATGACTTCAGGTCAATCTCCTGAGACATCCTGTCAGAACACTGGACTGGACAAGGCTCCCTATGACTGACCATGTGACTTAGTTCCTGGGCACCCTCTCGGAGGAAATACTGTGTAAGAAGATCAGTACAGATTGCCTTAGATAAGAAAATACCTCCTGGGAAGCTGGGTGTGTAGCTTTATGCCAGCAGTCAGGAGCTGAAACAGGAGGATTGCTTTGAGTTGAAGGTCAACCTGAGATAGATGCGTTGTTAAGATTCAGGCCAACCTGGATTGCAGAGTGAGACCCTGTCCTCTCAAGCGGTCCAGAACCGGTACCTCAGAGTCAGCTCGGAAGCTGATGCTGCCCCTTGGGTGTTATGTGACCCAGGGCCTCCTCCCCCTTCCCAAGGGAACAGCTCTCATCAGTTTTTCATCTGTTCTAGGTAGGGGGTGTCTCAGGAGCTCACTCAGCCCCTCCAGCCTTCTGATGCCCTCAGATGCCCTCACAGCCAGAGATACAGAGAGGAGACCTAAGCCATCTTCTCTGGGCCCAAGGGCCAAACGCTTTCAGTGGAAACTGCTTGTCATCCTCTTAAATAATTTGTCCAAAAAGTTTTATGTGCACCAGGTGAAACAGGCATTTTGTGGCGTGGAAGATACAACCACCAGAGAGGGTGAGGTCTTTCTGTCTAGTTGTCTGGGTGTCGGGTCTTCTGTGTGCTTTCTGTCTCTGAAGCCTCCTGGGTAGGTTTTAGAAGCCTTATCTCCAAGCCTCTGAGGGTCCAGTAGACCTGACTGGTTCTTAAACCCTTGATTCCATATCTGGACACTAGAGGGCACTCTCCCACCCCATCCTAGGAAGGAAAACGACACCCTCACCGGTCCTGGAGAGGGCAAATCAGCCAGCCTCCTGCAGGACAGTGTGTGCTAGGTTCAGAACTGCAGGAGAGGGAATGTTGGGCTCTCTCTTCATCTCTGAACCTCCTCACAATGTACTTCTGTGGGTAGAAAGTCCTTTCTTTGGGTCTCGCCTCAATTATCCTGTGCCTTGCCTTGATTTTTAGGAAGAGATGAGCAGTGGGGAAAACCTAATCACACAAAGGATTAACCTTCATGTCAGGTCTCAGGAGCTGGCCATAGGAGGACATCACAGAATACTTCCGGAAGAGCCATACCTGACCCACGGCAGCAGAAACCACAGCCCCTTCAGCTTACCCATGCCCCTGCTGCCTTTCAGGACCTCCGCCTGGCTGTCTTCCTCTTCATCCTCCTCTTCATCCTCATCCTCATCCTCCTCTTCATCCTCTCTTGGGTACCCCAGCTCCCGAAGCTCCCCCAACTCATCCTCTTCCTCTGAGGCTGGGTTCTCATTCAAGTTGCTGATGGTCTGCAGGTGGGACTCAGCAATGCGCTGCTGCACGGCTGTCAGGGGAGACCCAGGGAGGCAAGGGTCAGCCGAGCTGGAGGGGCAGCTCATGCGAGCAACTGAGGAAGAGGTGATACCCTAAGGGGCCCAAGTTCAATGGTAAAAGGCCACAGTCCACTCCGCTGTGGGGGAGGGGGATATGTTAACCCAAGGTGGGAGTGACAGGGGCACATTTTGATCATATTAGCTCTTAAGCTGTCCCAAGATGCTGACCCCCCCCCCCCCAGAGATTGGCATCAGAAAACTCCGCTACACCACAGGGCACCTGGCTGGGCAAGACCAGACAAGCACAGCAGCAGCTTAGCATTCTCTGGCCAGGAAGCTTACACAGCCAGTGCCCAGGACCAGAGAGCATCTACCAGTATCAACCCCAGGCAGAAGGTGCCAGGCCCATATGCCAGAGCCATTTTCTCCGACACCGTTTACAACGATCCCCTTTTCTGTGCCTCCCTGCCCAATAGGGCCCAGTATTTGATGCCAAGCTGCACCTCTCCCCCAAGCTCCCAAAACAGGAACAATTGTGAGCCTGAGGTCCCAGCACTCTGCGGCCTTGCTGGGCAAGCCGTTCAGATGCGGCCTTCACAGTCTTGACCCATATCCCTGATCTCCCAGCTCCCTCTGCGGTGACCCAGAAAGCAGCAACACCCCACCACCACCACCACGAAGACCTGCTCAGATTCAGCCTAGGAAAGGAACAGTGTGGGCGGCTTCCCAAAGATGAGAAGCGGGGAGGGAGGAAGGGGTGGGCTGGGGGTTCTGGGGAATGGCGAGGTCTGACTGGGTGGAGGGATTGGGCTGCAGCCTGGTTGGCAGAGTGCCTGCCTCGAATTCACAGACCCCTGGATTCTGTTCCTAGCTGAAATAGCGGCATCCACCAGGTAGAGGCAGGAAAATCAGGAGTTCAAGTGCACCCTCAGCTACGCAGTGAGATCTAATCTAGCCTGGGCTACATAAACAACCCACCCCCTCAAAACAAAAGACTAGAGTGGAGCCAGCCAGGGGCCAGGGGCTATGTCAGGACTTCAGAGTAGGTGAGACACTAGGTCAGCAGGCCTCAGACTAGTCTCCCTGCAGAGGTCACTGCTTTTTGGCTGCTTAAGCCAATGGTGGCCCCTCCCCTTAGCAGCCCAGGGGGGTAGGCTGGAAGCCTCCGGTGCGCTGAGCAGGGCCCTGCACTCCTGCCAACTCAGGGACAGGCACAGAGGGCGCATTGTGTGTGCCCGACGCCCCGCCCTGCCCCCAGCTCCCAGCCTACCTCTTCCCGCTGGCTGTGGGCAAGCCACCCAGGCAATAAAATCGCAATAAATGGCCCTGCCCTGGCCTTGAGGACCCGGCAAAGTTTCACCTTGAGCCAACTAAGAGAGCTCTGACTTGGCCTGGGAACACCCTTTACCCCCTTGCTCGCGCCACCCCCCCAAGCTTCGTGCTGCCCACCCTTCCCGGAGGGCTCTTGAATCGTGCCCTACAAAACCCAAGCCCTGGACAGGACGCTTGCCCTTGCCCAGAGAGCGTTAGGCTTGCCAAACAGAACTGTGTCCGTACAGAAGGGCCTCTGGGCTGGGGGAGAGGAGGTAGCAGGCAGTTGGGGGAGGAGAGCGAGTTCGTGATCCGAGAAGGGTATGGTAGGTGTGTGCGGCACCCATGCTGGTGCCCCGTGAGCTCCTGCTTTCATTACTCAAGTCTCTCACGCTTAGCTGGGCCTTTGAGAGTCTATACTTTGCCTACCACGCTGTCTCCTTCTCTTACCTCTCCAAGTCTGGGACCCTAAAATCCCCCTGCCCCAAGTTCTTCCATTTTTAAATTCAAAACCCAGAAGGGCAGTGATGGCACACACCTTTAATCCCAGCACTTGGGAGGCAGAGGTAGGTGGAACGTTGTGAGTTCGAGGCCAGCCTGGTCTACAAAGTAAGTTCCAGAACAGCCAGGGGTACACAAAGAAACCCTGTCCCTGAAAAAAAAAAAAAAAAGATTCAAGAATCCTAGGAGAGCCATCTCTGGCTTCTTCCCACATCCCTGTCTCTTCCTACCCAGACTATAGATACAGCCCAGAGAGGCTGGGATAGGCAGATCTTTGGTTATCCTTTGGTACACAAGAAACTTCTTGACCCTAAACTCCTACCTCAGCCCACTCCCTAAATGCAGAACCAAAGCCAAGGAGGGCTGAACTAGGGCTTCGCCTATAGTGTATAAAACCCTGGCTTCTACCCCCAGCACCTCCCCTGAAAGGACACGGGGCAGGCGGTACTGCTTTTCCCCTTTCACGTCCCCCCAGCCTAGAGTGGAGGAGAGGCAGCCCGGCTAAGACAAAGCCTCACCATGTATCCCAGCCTCAAACTCGCTGAGCATGACCTTGAACTTCCCATCTTCCTGGCTCTAAGCCTACAGGCTTACAGACATGTGACACCACACTCGCTCACACCGAGCTGGTGATGGAAGCCAGAGCATCACACGCGCGCTGCATTCACGACCCACACCCCAGTCTCAAGGCCAAGTTCCTGTACTCCTTGGAAATGTGCCGCTTATCTTCACGCCTGTTTAAGCCCTTCGCCACATCCCTAGGGAAGTCCTTTCACACTGCCACTCGCTGCTGCGGCTTCCTCCCTCCGTTTTCCCGTCCTAGGAGAAGGAAAGCCTTTCTCCTGTCCTCCCAGCTTCTCTCTCCTGTCCCCAGTCTTGGCAGCAGGGCCGACAGGTGCACCTGTTGACCTTGGCTGGCGCTGGGAAACCATAATAAAGCCACCCACCTTGGGGAGCTCTTGGTGGTGTGTGTGTGCCTGTGCATTTGTGTGCCACACCGCCAAGAGAAGGGACAGGACAGACAGGAAGGGGACTCCCGAGGGGGTGGTAGGCCACTGGCACCTAGCTGGGAAGAGGCACACTTACACACACTTGGCACACTCGCTTGCACCCGCTCCTGCTCTAGATGTATCGTCCCCAGCTCTCCGGCCAGAATCCAAGTCTCCAGCTATCCTGAAAACACCTTTGCACACACCTCTTTTCTTTTGCCTGTCTTTTCGGGCCTGTTGAGTCCAGGAGCCTCATCCCTTCTGCAAGCTCTCCCTGACCCTTAGAGGCAAAGGGTCCTGGAGGCCAGGGAAGGAATCACTCATCTTTCACCTCTTCATGAGACACGGTCTCGCTGTGTTGTCCTAGCTGGACTGGCATATTCCCTTGTGTGGCCCAGGCTGAGCTCATGTCCATAGCAATCTTCCTGGCTCTGCCTCATCAGGCAGGGATTACAGGTATGAGTCACCAAGGATTGGGGGGGGGGGTTGTTTTGGGATGTTTTTGTTTTGCTTTTTGAGAAAAGGTCTCACCACCATGCAACTCTAGCTGGCCTGGCACTTTCTCAATAGACCAGGTTTGCCTTGAACTCACAGAAACCCACCTGCCTCTGTCTCCAAAATGCTGAGATTAAATACCTCTGTGCCACCATAATGAGTTGTTTTTGTTTTTGTTTTTTAAGTCAGTATTAGGGCTGTAGCTAGGGGACCTGTGTATGTCATTCAAGTGCACTGATCTACACCGTGAGCCTCCAAACCTTCCTCCTCATCTTATTTCACTCAGTGCCCACCAATGAGACCTGGAAATATGTGACAAGAATGACACCTGTTTTGGGGTTTTTGTTTTGTTTTGTTTGGTTTGGTTTGGTTTTTCGAGATAGGCTTTTTTCGTGTAGCCTTGGCTGTTCTGGACTCACTCTGTAGGCCAGGCTGGCCTTGAACTCTCAGAGATCCTCCTGCCTCTCCTCCCAGAGTGCTGGGATTACAGAGGCGCCCCACCGCACTGGGCTAGGAATGACAGAAAATCAGAAAAGGGAGAGTGCAAGATGCAGGTGGAGCCAGGGTGGGGAAGCAGGGGGTGAGTGTGGCCCAGCCGAGACACACCCCAGAGTGTCTCGCCTCCTCTTGATGCTTATTGTCCTGGGCTAACCAGTTCTCGCTTACAACCCCCAAACCACAGACCCCAGCTGCCCTTTCCCTGCCTCTGGGAGCCTAAAAGAGAACTATTCTCCCAAGTCAGGTGGTGGCTTGGTGGCAGTCCTTCCCAGCTGACATTTCCTCTTCCTCCCCCATGTCAGCCCAGCTGCATGCCTCCGGGAGACCACAGACAGATGGAAGGGCGGGGCCAGTACCTTTCAGCGATGGGGGAGTGTAAGCACAGGGGTTGGGTCTCTTCGACTTCGGGTGGTGCCCCTCTCCGGAGGTTCTCTACAGAGAAGGAGCAGTTGGAGCAGGCTCCCCAGACACCCCCTCCCTTTGCCCTAGGACACCTAGGCCAAGCCCCAATCCCATTAGGAGAAGCCTGACTCAGAGCAGGACCCTCAGTCATAGACACCCTACCCCACTAAGAGAAGGTGACACCCAAAGCAGGATCTTTCCAGGGAAATGTAACTGACATGCTATTATGTCCTGTGGTGGCCTGGGCTGGCTCTGCAGGCATCAGTCTACCCCACCCCAGGGGGCCCAGCTAATCGTCCTTCCAGCTGCCCCAGGAAACTCACCTGGTGAGGAGAGGCCTCCTCCTCTGAGAGAGGCCACCAGGCAGACACCAATCATGACCAAAGAGGAAGAGAAAAAGAATCAGGTTACTTTCCCCCCAAAGCCTCAATCTTTGGGACAGCAAAAGTGTGCCCTTCCCTCCTGGCACCAACAGGTGCCAAGAGAGTAAACCAACCCAGCTGTGAGTTGGCCTTTCAGGCCTCCGGTCTCCAGCCAGTCCCCTTCTCATGGGGGCCCTCAGAAAGGCAGCAGAGGTAGGGTAGGGGCAGGGAACGGGCCCTACCTGGCGAGGAGTGCTCTGAGAGCCTGAAGAGCATGGCAGGGGTTGGTCTCCGGCGCCGGATCTAGGGAGATGAAGGAAGGGAGCAGGATAAACACTCTATCGCCTCAACGCCCCTCTCAGTCAGCTGGAAACAGGGCTTTGGAGTCCTCAGGGGGCCTGTGAATCAAAGGCAGCTAGAGCTCGCCCAGCTCACTCAATCCCTTTATTTCACAGGGATGAAAAGTCCAAGGCTTAGAAAGGTTCAGCAATGCGCTCAGTGTCACACAGCAGGCTGGGTCCAAGGGACTAGAAAAACCATCCACTGACTCCTAGCCCCGGATGCTCCCACTCCACAGCTAGAACTTTTCCTAGAAGCCAAAACTGATGGCAGCTCTTACTGCCAGTTTGAACACCCTGAGGTCCCTTTGGCCCTACCCGCCAAAGGTCAACTCAAGGGCTGGACTTAGCTGCAGAAGAGGTCTGAGGCCAAAACTGAAGGCACCTCCATCCACACCTGAGACTCAGGTGTGGGCCTGATCCCCAGACACCCAGGGATCGGCTAGAGTCTCTGGAAGTTGGGGTCTGGGGCCCCTGACACAGTCTTGCTCAAGCTGTGAAACTCCGCCCCGTTCTCATGGGGGGAAAAAATGTGAATTGTTCTCCTTGCCCAGCCCTAGCTCGGCAATCAGACCAACTGTCAGTTAATTAGGTCCCCTTGGAGCTCCAGGGAAATGCAGAGAGGCCCAGGTAATTGCAGCTGAAGTGGTTGCTGCCAAAAACTGCTTAGGCCCAAGCTGCACCCCACTCCAACCAAATACCCCCCGGAAGGGCTTTGCCCCCTTCTCGCTGCCCTCTTCAGGGCCGGCGGCATCTCAGCAACAAGTGTCCTTGCCAGGTCGCCCCCATACCTCTGGGGGTCTCCCAACCCCCTAGAGAATGTCCCCCCCCCGGGGGTTGCAGCTCTAGGGGGAATACCACAAAGTATTCAGAACAACGTTCTGGGGACCCCAGACCAGGCCTATCGGGTGAAACTGGGGTCCCCTAGACCCTAGGTTGTTGAGGTGATGGGCTCAGACGCCTGCCTGGGCTGTTCGTGCCCATGAGGGTGCCACCAGGGCGATGTGGTGCCCGGGGGAGCGGACTAGCGTAGCGGGGTCGTGAAGGACCAACAGAGCAGCCCACTGTCTCCCGACGCTCACTGCAGGATTTCTCCCGCCCAAGATCGGCTCCAAGGTCCGGGGCGGGGGAAAAGTTACCAGGGGCCTCCAGCGAACTTCCCGTCCCGCGTGGCGCCCAGGCGGGGTCCCGGGCACCGGCCGGGTTGAGCGAGGGATGTAGGTGCTGGGGGGTGGCGGGGCGCCACGCTGGTGGGGCGCAGCCCCCTTACCATCTCCACCTGGCGGGGATCGAGCTGGCTCGGCGGCGCCGGCACCGAGAACTGGATCTTCTTGCGGTCCTTGGGATCCATGGCAGGCTGCGCGCTCTCGGGGGCGCCCGGCCGATCCCTGCTCCGCCGTCCGGAGCTGCGGGGGGCGCGTGCTGCGCGGAGGAGGAGCTCGGTCCTCGCACCCAGGGAGATCCCGCGCTCCGCGAGGGCCGGAGGGCTGGGACCACGGGGCTCGCCCACAGCGCCCGGCTCGGCGCCTCCACCCGCCCCCCGGGGCTCGCAGTCCCCGCGCCTCGGTCGGGAGCTACGGGGTTTGGGGCGCGGGGCTCCGGCTCCCGGCCTGAGCGCTCTCTCCGCGGGTCTCGGCGGGCTGTCCCCCGGCCTCGCTCCACCAGCTTCTGTCCACCCTCCTTCTGCCTCCTCCCTCTCCGCGCCTCTGCCTCCGCAGGCTGCGCCCTACGGGTCCCAACCCTGGGGTCCCAGCCCGTCCCCTCCGCCAGGGACTGGCGCCCGGGCGCTGGGAGGGAGGGCTTAGGGGAAAGCGGCCAATGAGCATCGAGAAGCGTGTTCTCCCGGGGCTGGGAGGAGGGCGCGGAGTGCCAGCTAGGGCCAGGGGAGCAGCCCGGGGGCCCCCTGCTGTCTCCCCAGAACTCGGTGTTGCATTATTGATGGAGCCCAGCGGTGCAGCTGAGGGGAGGGGCCAGGGGCAGCTGGAGTCCGGACTCGGGCCTTAACCACTTCGGGTTCCCCTCCTCCCCCCGGAACGTGGAGTTTTGAGGGAGGCCTGTGAGGTCGAGGAGAGAGTGTGAGCGTGTCACGCTGTGAATGGGGGGTGTCCTAGAAAGCGAGTGTGAGAGGTGTGCGTGGGAGGACAGCTGTCAGTCATCCTGGTAGGGAGTATGGGCAAGTGGATGCCAGGGGCCTGGAGCGTTATAGCTGGGGAGGGTGGGGGGCGGGGGGTCGGTGTGGTGTGAGTGTGTGAGTCTCTGTAAGTTGTGTCAAGAGTGCCAAACATGCGGGTGTGAGTGGCAGCGTGTGGGAGGACCGCGTGTGCGCGGGGGAGGGTGTGGGTGTGGAGGAGGATGTCAAAGGCTGTCAAGGTGATGGGCAGGCGGATGCCAGCTTGCTGGGGGCCTGTGCAGGAGAGACTGTGAGCGCATATTCCCTAAGGGAAAGGGGGATGCGTCCCTGCCACGGTGTACCCAGCGTTCACGCGTCTCCTGCCTTTTCTCCCCATCTGCTGGGGGAGGGGACAGAACCAGCCCAGGGGGCAGGATTAGGGGGCTGCCTCACCAGTACACGTGCTGTCACGTGTGTGGGCTTGGTGCGTTGTTGGGGAACAGAGCTGGGAGTGAGAGGTGCGTGAGTGATCATTTCTGAGGTGTCAGCCTCTTCTACAGAGGTGTGTGCGCGCGCGCGCGCGCGTGTGTGTGTGTGTGTGTGTGTGTGTGTGTGTGATGCTGAAGAGGGGTTGCTTTGTGGGTTAGGTACCGCAGTTTGTGTGTCCAGGGCCTTGAGCCTCTGCGGGAGCTGGCACCACCCCTGTGCGGCTGGCCAGGAGGACTGAGTGCCTCTCTGTAGAGCCCAGGAGGGGCCTGTGTGGACCTGTGCCTGTGTGTGCCCTCCTGGGGTTCTGTTTGTGTTGGCTGTCCTCTCTCCTGGTCACTCTCAGGCCAGGAACAGCAGGAGCCCTCCCCACCACACCCCCAGCTCCACCAGCAACTTTTCCACTGCCAGCCCCAGCACTCTGGCTCTGGGGTGGAAGGAGAGGCCAATGGAGTCTTATGGAAATGAGGTCAGGGGCATGCTGTTCTGCCCCAGACTCGGTGCCCTCTGGGGGATGAGAGGGAGTATGTGTGCCAGGGGCCGAGATTTGCTCTTGGGAATAGGATGTCCTGGCGGCCAGGATCCACATCCTCTAGCCTGGGCCTGGCCACAGCTTGTTGACTTACATGTTTGCTGGGAAGCAGACCATGATAGGTTGCTGTCCCCGGAACGTGGGCACCTCTGCCAGTGCCTAGCTTGGTCCAGGGCCCCGTGGCGGGGAGTGACAGCACCCAGCTTGCTGGTATGTAGAGAGGGTAATGAGGGCCATGGCCAACCAGCATCTGGGCAGCCCCTAGGCCAAAGCGGGGGGAGGGGGGGGAGGGGTAAGAGACTGCAGCTCTCCCTGCAGGGGTGCGTGGGAAAGGGTACATGGCAGATAGAGGGGGTCTGAGGACAGGGCTGATGCCCTGACCCCCCAGTGCCACCTCAGTGCCCACTGGAAACTTCTGGGAACACACTCATTAGACCTGAACAGTCAGGATGGATGCCCCCTCCGGTGGCAGGGAGACAGGGGGCACAGTTTATTCCCAAAAGATGGACTTTGGGGACGGCGGGAGGTCCTCACCTCTTTGCCCAGTTTTTTTTTTCTGGGTATAATGCCTCTGCTTCTTAACTCCAGAGTCATGAAAGAGAGAGATGTGCAGAGGACACGCAGGAGGGGAGGGACACAGAGCTAGAAGAGACTTTGGGGGGCTCGTAGAGAGAGCAAAAAAGAAGAGAGGACCCATGTGAGGGATGGGGAGACAAAGGGAAGTGAAGAGGAGAAAGCCTCATGACAGAAAGGCAGGAGACAGAGATGGAGAGAGAGTAAAAATAGCTCCACATTAAGATAATTGCAGCTCACAGCTCTGCCCTCCGTTAGGAATTAAATGAGGTTTTATTACTTTGATTTTTCTCTCCTGGATCCTACGCGACTTCTCAGGAACTTAGGGAAAAAGTTTTTCTGGTGGGCGGCCAGGTGGCGGAGGCTGCGTGGGCGACAGAGAGGAAGGGAACAGGGAACCGGGGAGGTGTGGGGGACAGGGGTGAGGAGCAGGGAGAGGCTTGTGGGGGTGGCAGGGCCTAGAAAGAGTTAGAGGAGAGGGACTGGACAAACAGGTGGGAGGGCTGAGAAGCCAGCGTGACTTCCATTCACTTGGACTTGGAATTAATCATATGCAAATGAGATGTAAAAATAATATGCCACTCCTGGGTTATTATTCTTGAGCTGGGAGAACAGGCGGTTAGGTCCAAAGAACAATTTTAAGACCTCATTTGACTCTAATTCCTGCTCGCTCGGACTGACAAGGTTTTATAGAGGTGTGTTTGTTACCTGACTGGGTCTGAGCACACTGTTTTGTGGCAAAGTTCTGTCTGATATTTTCTTTCTGTTTTTTGTTTGTTTGTTTTTTAATTTTATTTTTTTGACCAGTCCCTGCCATGCAAGAACCAGTACACCCTCCTTCTCTGGAAGGCATTGTCGGGAAGGTGCTATGAGGCCTTTGCCCTCCACCGAGGAGGTGAAAACGTACAATCAGGTCTTTTCAATCCGTTCACATGAACAAACAAACAAACAAAAAAGTTGGACAGCCCTGGATAGGAACCTCAGGTCCGGAGTTTTACTGTGTGAACCTGTCTTCTTTGAGTCTCCTCGCTTCTGTATATTTCAAAGCCCACCGTGTACTGGGGCTGTGATGATTTAACAGGATAAAAGATTTAAGCCCCGGCGCGGTTCAGGATTCCTGGCAGTCTTGAACGGTTTGCTCTTCCCCGCCGCTTTATAGGTGAAGTTCTGTGAACGGCCAGCAGGTGGCGGAATCGGCCAGGGTTCCGGCTGCTGCACAGCTGGCAGGCAACGTGGGTCTGTAGTTGGGCATCGTGCAGGTGACCTTGGCGCCACCGAGCAGAGCTGGAACTGGAAAGAGTGGCATGTGGCAGCTGAAAGGGAGGCCCCAGGAAGTCCCGGGAAGCAGCCTTGGAGAAGCTGGGGAAAGCTAGCTGGGGGCACAGGGCCATCTTTCCCTGCCACTCAGGGGAAAGAGGGCTATTGAGGACCAGCACAAAGCAAAAAAGAGGACAAGGGTGTTCTGAGCCAAGAGATGGCGGACAGTCATCTGAGACATTCATCCATCTATTTATCCAGCCAACTATCTTGTCATCATTCAATATATTCCTATCAGTCTTGTGCACTAAAAAGAAAAAAAAAAAAAAAGAACCTTTACAAACAACCGCAGAACGGAGCTGTTTTGAGCATACATTTCAGAGGAGTTCTGAACTATATCTAATGTTTGCTTTCATTTATGTGTGTGAGTGTTCTGCTTGCTTGTGCACCGCCTATGTGCAGAGCCAAGAGGGCAGCTGAACCCTGGAGTCACAGCTCTAAGCTGGCATCTGGGTGCTGGGAACCAAACTCTAGGGCTTTGCAAAAACAGCAAGTGAGGTTTCTGCTGTGGTTTGGTTTGGTTTTGGTTGGTTGGTTGGTTGGGTTTTCAAGACAGGTTTCTCTGTGTAGCCCTGGTTGTCCTAAAACTAGCTCTGTAGATCAGAGATCTATAAACTTAGAGATCCGCCTGCCTCTGCCTCCTGAGTGCTGGGCTTAAAGGCGTGTGCCACTGTTCGAGGTTCATGAACAGCAAGTGTTTTTAACTTCCAAGCCATCTCTCTAGCCTTTATTATCATTTCGAGTGTCTCCCTATATAGCCCAGGTTGGCCTGGAACTTGCTATGTAGATCAGGCTAGGCTGAACTCAAGATTTTCTTGCCTGCCCCCCCCCCTTAAGGTTTATTGTTTTTATTTTATGTGTGTGGGTGTTTTGTCTGCTTGGGCACTGCCTTCGTGCAGTGCCAGGAGGGGGGTGACCGAACTCCTGGAGTTATAGACGATTGTAAGCTGACATGTGGATGCTGGGAATCAAACCTGGCCCTTGGCAACAGCAAGCGCTTTTGACTGCGTGGATGGCTATGAACCATGTGTGTGCAGTGTCAGCAGAGGCCAGAAGAGGGAGCTGCATCCCCTGGAACTGGAGTTACAGGCAATTGTGAGCAGCTGTGTGGGCGCCGGGAATTGAACCTCGATCCTCTGAAGGAGCAGCCAGTGCTCCTAAGCCCTGAGCCACTTCTCCAATCTGTGAATCAAAGCTTTTAACACACTGTTTTAAGACGGGTCCTCCAAACGATGTACCTTTACCCTGGAACCTGGAGTTCTGTAGGGAAGATGAATCGAGGAATAAATGAACAAGTGAATACATAAGTTGTAAACACTAACAAGTTTTTTTTTTTTTTTTTTGGAAGATTTATTTACCTATTTTATGTATGTGAGTCCTCTGTCTGCATGTACACCTGCACACCAGAAGGGGGCATCAGCTCACATTATTGATGGCTGTGAGCCACCAGGTGGTTGCTGGGAATTGAACTCAGGACCTCTGGAAGAGCAGCCAGTGCTCTTAACCTCTGAGCCATCTCTCCAGCCCCAGCAAGTTTTTCGTTTGTTTGTCTGTTTTGTTTTTTAAGGCTCCCATTTGGAGCTTTTACTGGCCTGGACACTGAGCTAGGCCCTGTATATGAAGTGTCCCATTTAATCCTCTAGGATCGTCCCATTTTATAGATGGGACAACTGAGGCTTCAGAGGGCTTCAGCAGCTTTTGCCTGGAGCCTAATCCAAATAAAAAACAGTTCTAGCC